CTGTTACAGAGCAGAGCTGATCATCTCAGGACTTCCCTTCTGACCTCAATTTGCAGAATTCTGCTACAGGATACTCAGGATGCTTTCTGCTCACTGCACTCATTGATTAGACTCACCAGGTATTAAATCTGTTTGGAGCAGACAAGCAGTGCAAGCAGCTTAGGTGATGGCATCTCATGTGGTGAGAGAAAAGACAGGTTTTTAGGGCTTATTGAATGTGTTTTGATTGTTGAACGTTGGGGACATACTGTGGAAGATCTGTAAGTGCACCCAGTTAAAAGTCTAATTTCCCAAATTTAAAAGAAATCTTGAAGAGATCCTTATATATTTCAGTTCTCATCATGACTGGAGGCAAAGGCAAGCACCAGAAGGACCAAAAAAGTCTAGAACTAAACTGATCACCACAAGCTCTGCTTGCATTATAACTTCTGGACCTTGGATTAGTGGGTTTTCAACAGGTGTCCAGAACCTTCTGGGCTCCAAGTTACTTCAAAAGATCTAAGTGGAAGGGAATTATGAAAAGCAATTTTATTAGCACTTTGCTACATTTAAAAAGAAAAAAATAAATCGAGGGATCTAAAGTTTAAAAACCATTCCCTTTGAAAAGGAAAGTGGCTGCTTCATCTTTTTAGGGTTGGTGAATTCCACTTTCAAGATTTTCATGTACTCCTCCATTAACAATATTTACATTGAGAACCTCTCTTCTGAAATTTGTGTTGGTTCTGAAAAGCTGGTTTTCACAATAAATAAGCTGAGACAATTTCTTTCACAGCTGTGGTTTTCCAGGCATTATGTTAATATCCTGGATTCTACATTCTTCCAAACAAGGTCCCTGACTGTATCTAACAAGTGCCCAGCACAGCAAGACAAAGTTACTAATGTTACAGAATTTGAGCATTTTGTGTCACACCCCCCTTGAAATGTTAGCACATGACTCAAACACAGCAACATCTGATAATGGCCAAGGACAAAAAAAAAACGAAGCCTTTTTCATTGAAGTCCAGGAAAACCCAACGGTGGGGAAAAAATCTCAGTGCCCTTCCTCACATTATCTGTCCCTCCCAGAGCAGATGGGCTCACTGAACTGAGCAAACCTAAGACGGGCACCACCAGAGTTGTGAAGTTTGTTAAGACTTCCAGTTTCATTTCAGAGGTGCAGAAAGATCACTGGAAGACACAGAGATGGAATTGCACGGACAGGAAAGGCATTCACTGTTAATTTCTGCTGTGATCATGAAACGAGGGCAGCAAAATGCCCAACCCAGAAACAGATTGGAATCTTCTTAGTTAAAAACACAGCTGAGGAGAGAGCAGGAGTTGACAGTAGGAGCCCTCTCTTCAGGAGAGGACTGAAAGCAAGACACACAGTTTCAACTCACTCCTGACTGCATTCAGTCTGTGTTTATAACACCAACCCTCCTTGGAAGTAAAAACGGCACAAGGTGAGCAAGTCTGACTCCAAACTGCCAAGAGTCACAGCTACTGGGGGCAGGCTGAGTAAATACACATTTCACTTTTACTGTTTAGGTTCTGACAATTTGCAGCCTCCTTCCATAACCACAGAACAGTTCAGAACACAGCTCGGCACCAACACGGCTCCAACCCAAAGGGCTCAGGTTACAACGTGGAGTCTCAGGTAATAACAAAACACAGCGGCTTCACTGGGGCCCTCAACAAGGGAAGACCCCGATTCTTTCATGTTTTTAATGTCAAGAGCAAGTTTCTCCCCCTTTTACAAGCACAGTGTACGTGGTACCACTGGTGTCTCCAAGTGACTTTCTGCTCTTTATTCCCCAGCACGTGGGTTTACACACGAGCTGATTTTTAAATTTCAGTTGGAGTCAGTAACATGCTTTTGAGTTTTTACAGGACAATAAAATTGCTTGCCAGGGGTTTCTGACTTAAAAGTTCTACACAGCAGATTGAGGTAGGCCTCTTGATCCTCCTTACCACATTTTTGCCATGTTAGAGTATAAAATATCTGTTCTACTAATTGCACCCAGGGATTCACATCCAATATCCAGATAGACTCCTAAAGCTGACTCTGTTTACCCTTTGATCTTGCCTAGTCTGTTGCTTGAAAGAATACAGACAGGTGATGGGAAATGCTGGAGCTATTGCAAGAACTGCTTAAGCACTAATTAACTCCAAAAAACCCAGAATGAACAAGAAGCCAAAATGGAACTAAACCCACAACAGCTGGTGGTCATCAAGGCGATTTTCCCAGAAGGCAGAAGACTGTTACTAATAGGATGGAAATACAGAATTTACTGAGACCAACTGGAACTGCTGATAACATATATTGAGAAATGCCTCATTTCTCACATTTTCTGCAGAGCAAGAGTGAGCCTGAACAACAATTTTAACTTTCAGTGTGGGAAAAAAAAGTGGAAACTGAAACACAGTCCCAGCAATTAGTACCAGGAGGTAATTTTACTGTAATGCTATTTTCATCACATTTAAAAATAACGTTCAAGCGTTTTTATCCACAGAAATACATTTTTTTTTCCTCAGAGTTTAATCAATGCAGTATAGTTCATCAGAATCTGCCCACTGAGATTCTCTTACATTTTAAATTATTTCAATTACTGCAGAACCTGGATGCTGGAACCCCCAACAGATGATTAAATAAAGTTGTGTGTTCTGTTCTCCCTTTACGACAGCGGAGGTTTTTGAGATGTTTCAATCACATCACATAAACCTGCATTCCTCCACTAACACAGAACACTCACTCTTGCCACAGGAGACAAACACTTCTTGTGCTGCTCCCAGCCAATGATTTTAACTTCAAATCCAGAGTAAACATAACCTCTTCAGAGCTGGGGACACGTTTGTGTGCAAGGAGAACAGCCCACTGCACTCCAGTGATAACAATACCAAAGGAAACCACGGCATGTTCCCTTGAGCATCTGACAGCAAGTGAGGGACTCTAAGAACCAGAACTGCTCAAAAGCCCAAGTTATTATGCATTTATTTATTATTTATTATCTATTATCTGATTTAAATTATACAGATGAAGCAACAGTGCTAAATAGAACAATTCACCATTCTGCCTGGGCATTTGCTTTAAACGTGGTTCTTTCAGTGCCTTGGTGATGGTCTTCCAGAAGATGGCTGAGGCTGCCTGAACTTTGAGAGAACAGTAATGTAATCAGCAAAGGTGTAAGTGTGATACTCGTGGTGCTGAAGGTTCTTGTAGGTGGAATTATCCATTTCCTCTGGAGCAGGCTCACCCAGTGCTGTGGTCTCTGTGAAAACAAACAGTAACTGGTGACTATAACGATGCCACACCAGAGGACAATGTTCTTAAGCACACAGTCAGCCTTCTTACACTGCCAGATCAACTACAACAAAAGGAGAATTTACTGAGCTCTGCTGGTTCCTTGTCTGGTCCTAAAGCAGCACATTAATGTGCAGTGGGGAACAGGAATCAGTGCAAGGCATCTAATACAGCAAGGTCTTAAAACCCAAACTACCCCCTAATGCTGGGGGTGGACAGGGCAGAACATTTCATTTATCTTTTGAAGGCATATGTCTGCATTTCCTGGCTTCTTCCATCGTTGCCTTGGTTTTCACTCCAGCCAGAACAGTAGGTGACATTCTCAGCAAGCCAGGAGAGGCAAGGAGCAGTACAAATGATTTATCATCACTCCAGACCACGAGATAAAGCCATTAGAGCTACTCTACAGACTGAACTTTTTCCATAGGGAAAAGTGAGGGAATTAGCAAGATCTCCACAGTTTAATTTCAAATGTGGTTATACCAAACAGTGATGCATCAAGAGCCTTTGATGTGAATTTCCTTTCTCCTAAATTTTGCATCAGCTCTTCTTCATAAAAGAATAACCCAATAAAGTTATTTAGAACTCCTTACTTCATGTTAAAGTCAACATTAATTCTTGTGCTTTTAGACTATTGTGCAAATGGGAACAGAATCATTTACATAAAAGGTTCCTGGTGTAGGCTGATTTTACAACCAAGGAAATTGCAAGAAATAAAACTTTACTTCCCAACAATAATTTATTCTCATATACCCAGAGTTTTAACAGTAGGCAAGACACACAATCTAGTGAAAAGCTTCACCACATAAATTTGTATGTGGTGGATTAGGTTAGATTGTACAAAGCTCTTTTCGTAATGTGTCCATCCATAATAAAAATACAAGAACTTGAGCAACTGAACACCAGGGTTTCCCCTTGCTTATGACATAATTATTGCAGTGTAAAGTGATCAGATTAAGAGCAGAATCCATAACATTTAGCAAGACTTGCTTATAAATCCCAACATAGCAAGCCATGGTTTCAAAGCCTGTGACAGGAAATATCCCTGTGCCTACTGCTCAGCTCCTGCTGAGCCAGCTCATAGGAGACAGCACTGCAGAGAGAAAAGCCAGATGAAGTCTTTGCTGCAAACAGCCCCAAGAACAGGCAAGCGTAGGCAAGTGTACGTTCAACCTGCAAGAGACAGTTGTTCCAAATCAAGAGGCAGATGCTCAGGAAGAAAAGCAGATGGAGTCTCATTTTTCCTGCCCAAATACACTGTACTTAGCTCCTAAAAGGCAAAATTTATTCCCGGGTTCATCCTCCCCACACTTCAGTCTTCATCTCTGCTTTGTCTCTTAAAGAGCAAAGCACTTCCCAGGCTGTTCTTCCGAAATGAATCACAGGCACATTTCTGAGTTACCGCGCTACTACTTTGCTACTTACTCAGCAGTTCAAGTCAGCAGTTTTTGCTGACTGCTCTACAAAGGGATGACATCACCTGAGCATCCAGGTTTGTAATGAGAAAAATTCCTTGTATGCCTTCCCTGTGCCTGCTGCAGAGTTTGGAGGTGAGCAAACGAACACATGGACGGGACAGAAGCACGAATTGCAGGTGGTATCGTGAGCTGTGAACATTAAACATGGAAAAGCAGAAGCTGTTCTCAAAGAAGGAAGAGAGAACCGGATATACCTGGAGACAACAGTGCTGGTTTTGAACACAGTGTAGCTGGATTTGAGCTGGGACCCTCTGGCACCCACAGACATCCCACCAGCAGTGCAGACCTTGCCTGTGCCAACCTCCAGCTCTCCTACAGCCACTCCTCTGGCACTACCCAGCAGAAACTCCCCTGCTGCCACAGCCTGACCACCTTCACAAAGCAGAAGTGCCTTTTTTAGCAAACCAGTCCTACCCAAAAAGGTTTTGCTGGTGCAGTGGTGATGATGGGTCTGAGGCACAGTGGGATTATTGCCCTGTTGATACAAATCTGCAGGAAAAGTTTGTCATGTGGGCCTGACCTTATTCTGGATTTACAGCATCAGAGTAGAGGAGGCTGTTCCATAGATCTGTGATGTGTCATAACCTGCACTTTTAATCAGTAGCACATTTTAAGACCAAGTCCTCCCTTACTTGAAGTTAACTGAACTCATTTGTGTCTTTGTGTTTCTTTCAACGTGGAAGAAAAAAAAAGATGCTTAAGAATCTAGAATTCCACTGTGGACGAACAGGGAGAAAAGCATCATCTGTAGATAAATCCAAATACTCCTTCCCAATTTTTTTTTTTTTTATTTTTTTAAAGAAAGTTTCTGCTGCTGGCTGCAAGGAGGAACAAGCAAATTAAAACATCACTTGCAAACAGCACTGCATTTTATTATTTGAATCACAGAATCATTTTGGTTGGAAAAGACCTCCGAGATCATCGAGTCCAGCCTTATACTGATCACCACCTTGCCAACAGGACCAGAGCACTGAGTGCCACATCCAGTTGTTCCCTGCCATCAGGGAAGAAGGTAAGCAAAGAAATCAAATTAAGAGCCAACTAACATCTTAAAACAGAAGGCAGGTCTTTTACTCAGCACTATCTTCCGGAAACTGATGCACCAAAGCAATTATTTATCACGTAACCTGGTTAGACACAGAATGGTTGAAACTGGAAGACACCTCTGGAAGTCATCTGGTCCAACTCCAAATTCTCAAGCAGGTTTAGCCAAGAGCAGAATGCCCAGGACCACATTCAGACAGCTTTTGAGTGTCTCCAAGGATGGAGAGTCCCTCACCTGTAGCATTAAACCTGCATTATATGGGAAAACTGTGGTTTAAACAGGTTTTAAAATGGCTTTTGGTGGTGTCTTTGCAAACACATGCTTCTTCTTCCCAGCACCCCCTTTGTTATCCATGCAGGAATGTCCTGGGAAGGTGTCCTGAGGTGTTTCCCATTTGGCCTTTGTTAACCTCTTCCTGTGATTGGGTGTTCCTGTAAGCCCCTTGAGACTTCTAATTGGTTACTCTGTGAATCCTCCTAAACCCTATAAATGTAACATCCCCCACAATAAACTCTCTCTTGCCTCCTCTCCACGCCCGGTGTCCTGTGTCCTGTCTCCCTGCCGGCCATGGGGCCACGTGCGGGGGGGGGGAGGGGGGAGCACCTCTCCCCTCCAGGCTCAGGGCCTGAAAAAACCCCTGGGAGAACCCTGGAGTTTCCCTTTCCCCATCCCTCAAAGCGTCGCAATGGTTCTTCAGATGGAGACGGAACTAGAACTGGGCCAGCCCCACGCTGTGGATGGGGAAAGAAATCCAGACTCACCTCTCTGGGCAATCTGTGCCCAGAGTCCTACCACTTTCACAGTAAAAAAAAAGTGTTTAGTGATGTTCAGGCAAAACCCTGTTTCAGTTTGTACCCACTGTCTCTTGTCCCATCACTGTGTACAACTGAACAGCTTTATCTCTGCCTTCTCTGCACTCTCCCTTCAGGTATTTATACATTCATGATATTCTGTCTGAACCTTCTCTTTTTCTGGGCTGAACAGCCCCAGATCTCTCAGATCTCCCCTTTCCTCACAGGAGAGACACTCCAGTCCCTTCATCATTTCAGTGGCACTTTGCTGGACTCCATCCAGCAGCTCCACATCTCCCTTGTGCTGGGGAGCCCCAAACTGGACACAGCACCCCAGGTGCCCCTCACCAAAAAGGAGATGCAGCTCCCTCAGCCACACTCCCCACACAACCCAGGTCACCCTTAGTGGCCTTTGCTGAGAGGGCACATTCCTGGCTCTGGTTCAACTTGCTGTTCCCCTGGACCCCCAGGGCCTTTATATCACTTGAAGGATGAAACACAGCAGCTTTACAATTATGCTGCTTTTATTCCAAGTAGGTAAATTCTTCAATTCAAAGTAGCAGCAAGAAGGGGTGGTTTAAGAATGGTATTTCTATACTGCCTAAGTTGAAGGGCAGGAATGGTGTCTGTGACAGATCAGGAAAGAGGGACACCTGCTACTGAAAAACACAAAATGAGGTAGGTTAACAGGATGGTAGTAAATAAGAAGGGTAAATTAGGTAGGGAAGCAAAGCCAAGGAGATGATTATATGATGCATGATGGTCTTTCCTAAAAACATACTGCTGTCTCCTCCCAACTCAGTACAAAAGCTAACTCACTGCTTCCACACTAGTTACTTACAACCTTCCAGTCTCAGAATCAACACCTGTTTCTGGCTTTATGCTATGATTTCCTGAAGTCTACTGGAATATGAAACACTGAAAGACTGAAAAAAAAACCCCCAAAGCCTAATGCAAAAAAAACCCAAAACAAAACCAGAAAGACAGCAGAGTTTAAGCAACACTCAGATGGCCTCGAATTCAGGTCGTGAGACAAATACTTCTGAGAAAAAATAAGAGTGAAAAAAAATTTTGTCATATAAACCCCATGATTTTGCTCACAGTGGAAACAATCTTGTTTTCATTTTATAAGTAACTGGTTTATGAAACTATAAATACAGAGAAATGAAACCACTTCCTTTCACAACATAGCTGGAAACTGAGAATTACTGACAGCTTATAACAATTAGCAATGAACAACAATTTATCTTCCAGAAAGTCACTGCCACCCTGTCAGCTTCAGCATAAAGATCAGAGAAGATGTGGAAACCCTTTAAAAAAGTCAAACCCTAGCCCAGATGAATCAATACAGTTCAAACAATTTAAAGTTGTACCCTCTGTTGTGCTGCTTTCTCCAGCCTGGACTCCTGCTTCCCGAATGGTCTCCTCCTTTGCCGTGGTGCCCATCACCGACACTGTGCTTCCAGAAGTCTCTTCCACTTCAGGAGCAGTTACTTCTTTTGCTTCTGACTCCTGTGCCTCCTTCACCTTTTTCTTCTCTCCTCTGGATACCAGTTTTTGCTCTTTGTCTTCCCGTGTAGCTGCTGAAGTTTTCAGCTGAATTGCTGCCACTTGGGTTCCGATGGACTTTTCCTCCAAACAATCAGATTTATGAGTGACACCCGTCAGGTCTTGGCTTCTCACCACACCTGGTTCTAAGACCAACTTCTGCCAATCTGCTGCTTTTGGCGTGGATTTTACTTTGGGGTCTCTTGCTTTGGATTTTGATGTTTCCTGGCTGACTGATTTTTTAGAAAATTGGACCTGCTTTACAGGAGACACAATTATTTCTGGTTGGCGTGACAGCTTCTTAAGTCCATACTCTCTGTGGGATTTCTGGAACAAATTCTCTTTTGCTAGCATTGATGCCTTTACTGCTATGTTCTCAGAAAAGATGGGATCTCGCTTAGGAAACTCAACTTTAGTTTTAACAGCAACTCCTGAATCCTCGTTTTCTTCCTCAGAATCTGAGCTAGAATCTGACTCTGAGCTGGATGAGGATGAAGTCTGTTCCTCGACTAACTCTTTCCTCAAGCCTCTTGTTGCAGGTGCAGTGAGGTTTCCCTCCTCAGGGGAGGAAACAACTCCTCGCTGAGGAAATGCAACCACAGTTTTTCTTGACATGAACCTCCTCGTGTCTTCAGCAGGTTTTGAAGCTTCCTCGAGGCTGGTACTAGATATGCTCTCATCTTTGTCTGTGGACAGTAGGAGAGAGCTAGAAGACAACATTTTAGGAAATTCACCTGGTGCCTTGGTGGCAAGCAGCTTGGTGCTTCCCTGTGGTGCCACTACATCTGGGAAACGGCATAAAGAGGATTATCATCATTATATCCCACACTGCTGTTACTCAGTGATCTCAGTCACACAATTCAAACTTTCCAAGACAATCTGGCACAAAAATAAGCTGAAAAGAGTTGTTACACTAAATACAGGCACTGCGAAGCAGCAAGTTTAAGACATTCTAAGTTAAAGAAGCTGGAGTTCTAGTAGCACTCAACAGTTTTTGCTGCTGCAAGGCTGAAACTCATGAGATAAATCCTTATGCTCCTTCCTTTGCCAGACCCCTCCAAGAGCTGTTTTTCCCTGTGCTTCAGCTCTGCATCACTGAAGTGGTTTGCAGACACCTCCCTACCTCAGGTGAGTGTTAAGATGGCTTGTTAGCCAAGCTCTTCAAATATGCTGCTGCAGAGACAAAACTTGTATGTGAACAAGGCAGCAAAGCAGAAACCACAGTAAACAGACACAGCAACAGCTGCTGGCAATAGTTACTCTGAAAGCAGATGGGAGGGAGGACTCCCAAAAGGCAAAGTACTGGAATAAGAGACACCTGAGGACATACATGACAATATTAATTGCTCATTGCCCACATGACCTGCCAACTGAATTGTGTCTCCATGGTTTAACATTATTTCCTCAAGAGACTTTAATCTCCTCCAGTCTTCACTTCATATTTTTGATTTGAGACCTCTTTGTAAAACAAGACTTAGAAGATCTCCTGATGCTTCATGTTTCATAGAATCATAGAATCAACTGGGTTGGAAAAGACCTCTGAGATCATCAAGTCCAACCCTTGATCCAACACCACTGTGGTTCCCAGACCTGATGCCACATCCAGGCTCATCCTAAAAACCTCCAAGGATGGTGAATCCACCCCCTCCCTGGGCAGCCCATTCCAATGTGTGATTACTCTCTTTGTAAAAAGTTTCTTCCTAATATTCAACCTAAACCTCCCCTGGCACAGCTAAAGGCCATGCCCTCTTGTCCTACTGCTGGTTCCTGGGAGAACAGACTGATGCCCACCTGGCTGTGGCCTCTCTCTCTCTCTCCTGTCTCATGGATACTTGCAGTAAGTTAAATTCTCCAGACAAGGAGAAGAGAGAGCAGCAATTTTTGGGCCATTTCAGAGAGTACCCAATACCCCTTGGATGCTTGTGCCAATATCATCCTCAAGAGGCTGAGCAACAGCAAATACTGTTGTGGTTGTAGAAAACAGGAGTACAAAGAGGACTGGGACCACAGCAAGAAGATTCACCGTGGCTGAGATTGGCTGTAGTGAAGCCAACTCCATTATGAGTTGCACCACTTCCAACCAGCAGAGTAATCCAACAGATTTCCAGCCTGTTATGAACATTTATCTGCACAGTTTGGAAACTCAGATCTACTTTGTAAGACCATAAAACACATGCAGTTTCCCCCTCACTAGTATTTTACAGTAATACCTTGTGTGATTCAAGGAGTTATTACCACACAGTTCTGAATAGAAGCAAAGCTTCAGCAATGTCCAAATGAAAACACCACAGAAAAGACAAACACATGAAATTAAAAGCAAAGTATTCAAGAAAGAAATAAGAGGTTTTATCATAGTGAAATACAAATGAAGAAAAGTATCAAGTTTACTCTACAGTTAATATTTGGAATAATTTCAAGCACATACTTCTCTCTGTCAGCTGGAAGGTGCAGGGCAGGAAGGAAGAGCAGAGGGAAGCAGGAGGATGGGAAGCCACCTTTGGAAGAGGTGTGACTCCCTGCACAGCCTGACCCAGCCAAACAGCAGCCTGGAGGAACTAACACGTGAGGAAACATCACTCAGCATTGAAGAGTTCTTCAAGGAAGCAAACAGGGAGACCAAACTAACACAAGACTGGCCAAAGGGAGGGCAGACAAGGGAAAGCTGAGCAAAAGCTGAAGAATTATTAATGTTAAAACATCCTAAGAAACCAAGAAGGCAGGTGACACTCAACTTGCCTATTAACAGTAGGTGCTACTGTAAAAGTACTTTAAACACTTAAGCTTGGATTTGTGAAAAAGACAGACTTTATGATTAAAAGCTGAAAACACGTAATACAAGTGATACAGCCACTTTAATTAGGTACTCCAAACTTTGCACCAGCTGATCTGCATTTGCACCACTTTGCCAGAAGAACAACACAACCAACTCAGCACCAGGAATATCACTCCCAGATGCATTCTTCCTGATGCCTCTAACATCAGCATCGTCACCAGAATGTGTTTGAAGCACGTTCTCACTCGGAGAGGTGACAGGCAGAAATGACAGGTCTACTGCCCTTCACTGACTCTGTCTGTGAACATGATCATTTTATCAAAGCAAGGACAACTTGCACATCCTGTTCCAGCCAGAATCTGGAAAAGGCAGCTGAATCCTTTCCATCTTAATTAACATGAAGTAATTGCAGGGGAAGCAGCTGGAAGAGGAGGCCTAAGAAGTCTCCTGACACAAATCAGAGCTGCAGGACAGTGAATCCAGAAGCTGAGGTACATCTTAAATACACTTAATGCAAAAAAATAAATTCTAATAAAAAAACAACTTGCTGTTCAATGAAGGTTATATCAATCTATGCAGTGAAGGTTTTCTTAATGGAACAGCCAAGCTTTTATTTGCTTTTCAGAGGATGCATTCAACTCTTTCAGTGATCCTTTCAACAGCAGCCAACAAGCCTGGCCACTCCTACCTATGGCTCCATGAAGCTTTGCTGTTAAAGTCCCTGAATCTCTAATTTGAGACAGGAATCCTCACTGAACCAGTGCATCTCCACTTAAAACCAGCATTTCGTACAAGATACCCTTGTTTGAAAATTGTATTCCTGTTTTGACTTTGGTCAGGGACAAAAGGGGCTCAAAAACTCCTGAATGTGGAATGCAGTGCAGCACTCAAACCCAGGTTCAGGCACTGCCCTGCCTGGAAAAGCTATGGGGCAGGAAGCATTACAACCAAATTTAACACATCAGGGCTGTGGCAGCTTCTCAACCTGCTGCCTTTTAACCCTGATAATCCAAACATTTCAAAGGACGAGGGCAAACATCTAAAGTGGAAAACTAAATTCTGCACCTCATTAAAAAGAGTGACTTGGTACATTCTTTCCCATCAAATCTCAGGCAGCTTGCAAAGCTTCTTTATATTAAGACAAATGTAATTAAATCTCTCCTTAAGTCTGGTCAGGCATCACAGCAGTTAACGTATTATAAAATTACAGAATGGTTTGGGTTGGAAAGGACCTTAAAGATCATCCAGTTCCAACCCCCTGCCATGGGCAGGGACACCTTCCACTAGCCCAGGTTGCTCCAACCTGGCCTTGGACACTTCCAGGGATGCAGGGGCAGCCACAGCTTCTCTGGGTAACCTGGGCCAGGGCCTCACCACCCTCACAGTAAAGAATTTCTCCCAAATATCTAATCTAAATCTCCTCTCTGTCAGTTTGAGGCCATTCCCCTTTGAACACGTTACACAGTTTGACATTGCCCCACCCAGCCTGGCCTTGAGTATTACGGTGAAGGCAAACAGGAAAGAAGTTGTCAAAATCACAAATATATATGCATTTATATTATTTATAAAAAATACACATATATGGCCTATAAATAGAAATACATCCCACATAGCCACGTTCCTACGAGACCTTTACTTCTACTGTACTTTTTACTTTTTACTGTACTGTACTTTTACATTTACTTTTACTATATTGTACATTTTATCAGAAACCCTTGTTTACATGGCGATGACCTTCCACTCCTTGGATTTCCCAGCTTACCCACCTCTCCCGAGACCTCTCCTCACCTATCCCTTTTACTGACACCCCGATACCACTCGGAATCAAAAGAACCCTCTTACTCTTTTTTGGCGGCGTCCCGCTTTGTTTATTTGGCTTCGTGCAGAGCCCGCGCGCCTCCAGCTGCAACACCTGCAGGCCGCAATACAACGAGAATTAACAAAGCGGGACGAAATGCCCCGAATTGAGTAGATTTGGGGACGGGGGGGGGAAGGAACTGTGCCGAGGACCCGCTGTACCTGACGCGTCGCCGCCCTCCCACCGCCCCTCAGCGCCGCGGCCGCCGCCATCTTGCCCGGGGCCCTCACGGCAGCTCCGCCCCGCCCCCGGCGGTGGGCGGGGCCGGCGCGGGGTGACGTCGGTGCGCGGCGCGGTGACGTCACGGCGTACGCGGCGGCGCGGGCGCATGGCGGGCGCTGAGGGAGGAGGAGGAGAAGGAGCCACCGGCGATGGAGGCACCGATGGAGCCACCGGCGGAGGTCGTAGCCCCGCGGCCCGCCCGGCCCTGGCGCTCCGCGGGGCCGTGATGGTGGCCAGCGGCGGGGGGCGGCTGCTGGCGGCGCGGTGTGGGGAGCCCGGGTCAGTGCTGGGCGGGTTTGCGGCGGGGCCTGTCCGGCCGTGCGTGTGCCCTGCGGTGGGAGGTGAGGGGAGAGCCCCGGAGCCGCTGCCGGAGCTGCTTTCTGTGGCTTTTTCGCGCTCCTTGTCGGCGTTTTCTGCTACAGAGACTTGGCTTTTAAACTTTCTATACTTTCACGGTTTTCCTCCACCAGGTGCCGGTTACTGCCTCGTGAACGACTGTACGTAACATATAGATTATATATGTGTTACGTACATAATATATATATATGTACACATATAAATGCGCACATTTATATATGTGTACACATATACATATATATAAAGTATACATGTATGCACATAACATAGATTATGTATTTAGTGATAAATGTATACAACATATGTAGCAGAACATATAATAATATGCAGTTATATAATATAGACACACACATATAATATATGTAACATATAGCTTTTATTTAAAACTATAAATGTATATAATATATATAATAATATATAATACAGAATTATATAGAGAGTACATCGATATGTGTGTGCATATATAAATATCTCACAGAATATGCTGGGTTGGAAGGCACTCACAAGGATCATCCAGTCCAGCTCCTGGAAAGGACCATCCACAAGAATCACATACAAAATAACTGTGTTTGGTGTCTATGAGTAAGATGCACATAAATATCTCCAAGATGGGTGTTGGAGGATGGTACCAGGCTCTTTTCTGTGGTGCCCAGCGACAGGACAAGGAGCAACGGCCCTAAAATAAAACACAAGAAGTTCCACCTCAACATGAGGGTGAACTTCTGTACCTTGAGGGTGGGAGAGCCCTGGGGCAGCTACACAGGGAGGACATGGAGTCTCCCTCTCTGGAGACATTTCCAAACCCACCTGGAGGAGTTCCTGTGTCACCTGCTCCAGGTGACCCTGCCTTGGACTGGATGATCTCCAGAGGTCCCTTCCAAACCTGACGATTCTATGATTCTGTGACTGGGTGAATGCTGCTGACAGATGGGTCAAGTCTGACACAAGTGAAATATATGTAAAATACAGGGTTACTTTGCCAGTGGATGATGATTTCTTTTTTTGGCATCTGTGTGCAATCCAAGGTTTTAAGCTTCGGCCACATCTGCAGCGCTCTGGGAGCCCCCTTGGGCAGAGGTTGTCCCTCAAGATGGGGGTCAGCTGTGCAAGAAACCATGAAATAAGAGCATGGTTATAAGAGTTGGCACCCTTTTTAGTTAAGCTCATGGTTGTTCTAGTCCCAGTGGGTTTAGTCTTGTTTTTATTTTGCAGTGGTGAGAGTCTCTTCGTGTACGATTGTGTCAGCGCGGAGAAGAAGACCTTGGGAGATAAAGGGTGAGGAAATCTGCTCTGGCAATCTCTGTGTTCCTGGAGGGGGCATCTCCTCCTGAGGTGGTGTGGCAGTGAAGGCAATAAAAGAGTCACAGGATGACTCCTTGAGCAGGTGATGGGTTGGTTTTGCTAACCCTGATGGGTTTGTGTGTATGTTTTTCTTTGTTTTGTTCCAGAGGCGTCAGTGTACTCCTTTTTCTTTTTTAGAGAAACACCAGTAGTACAGGGAAGCTGTGGATGCCCCATCCCTGTTAAGTGTTCAAGGCCAGGCTGGATGGGGCTCTGAGCAACCTGGTCTAATGAAAAGTTTCCCTGCCCAAATGGCAGGGGAGTTGGAATGAGATAATCTTTAAGGTCCCTTCCAACCCAAACCGTTCTGTGATTCTGTAGTAAATGAATCCCAGTGATTGTTCTCATTCAAGACATTTATGTAAAAATGCTGCATTTTTTATTATACCATCTAAGACAAAAAAAAAGACCCCACAGACCAGTTACATAACTTCTCCTTCAGGTCCATTCTCTAAGTCACGAGAGTTCAAAACTGAAAAAGTATTTTTCTTAGTTTAAATTCAACCAGTGGACATTATTTTACCTGTAGCCAGTCTTACTGATTTCACCTAACTTTGAATCAAGCTCTGAAAGCACAAACTCTAGCATGGTTTGTTTGTTTGTTAAAGCAGGTATTCAGGCAAGGCTTAGACTTTATATCAGTTTTCTTTTCCTTGGCTTTTTTCTTTGTATTAATGTTCAAATTGGCTGAACCTTTTAAGCATAAATAAAACTTTTTAGGATTTTGCTTTGTTCTTCACGAGCCTTCGTGGTGGTGTAAGAACAACCTTCTCAAGGACTTTAGTGTCTCTTGTTGTGAACTATTCCCCTTCTCTCTCTTAGGCAGGATGGAAAAGCAACAGATAAAGGAACTGATGACATCCTGGCTTTTGCCTTCTCCCCATCAGGGGATTATTTTGCCTTGACAGATGACAACAAACGTCTGATCCTGTTCCGGACAAAACCTTCCTGGGAATGTGTTAGTGTCAGGTAAGGCAGCAGGATGTTGAATGTCACTTTGTTATGGAGTTATGGCTGATTGATTCAGGGTTCTAAAACAGGAATACTTGGTCTGTTGATATTTGTTATCACTAAGCTTTTTTTGGTTTTCTGGTTGTTTTTTATTTTCCCTTGCTCAAAAGAATTGAATGTTTTTGGGACTTCAGAGATATTTGTTAAGAAATGATGCATGGTCTGCCCCACACCAAGAGTGAGACTGCAGATATTTATATCATTGGCCAAGGGAGGATAATCTCTTTTCTTATTCCAAAAGACAGTATTTACGTCTTTAAGAACTGAAACTATACCCACTCCTCGTGAACACTTAAGATTGGGGTCTGTAATAGTGATGCTGAGCAGTTCAGTGAGTGCATTGTCTGTTTTGATTTGGAGGAGAAGATGTTTTGGGGAGTTTGTGACTTTTTTTTAAAGCACATCTTTAGAAGTGCTGCAGCTCTTTTCCTTCTGTACATTCCTCCTGAGGAAACAGCCTGCAGCTGTCCACCAGAGGTCCTCCAGTTACAAGTTTTCTGCTGCTACTTGTGACAATTGTCTGTACAAAAAAAAAAAGGACCAGGAAGGGCTTTATGAGAAAGTAGCTGAGCTTGTGACAACTCTGCTTTTGGTGGTCTCTGACAAATGTGAGGCCCTGGTTGCAAGCCAAAATGGAATGTCTGTAGCTTGGCTGTGTGTGTAGGGTACAGGATGGACCTTTGGTGGGTTAAACAGTGTTGGAGTGAGGAAGTAATCATGGCATGAAGTTGTGTCAGGGAGGTTTAGGTTGGATATTAGGAAAAGGTTCTTCCCCCAGAGGGTGGTTGGACTCTGGAACAGGGTCCCCAGGGCAGTGGTCACGGCACCAAGGCTGGCAGAGCTCAAGGTGCAGGGTCAGGAGTAGGACTTTGATGATCTTTGTGGGTCCCATCCAGCTCAGGATATTCTGTGATTCTGTGACAAAGCCAGAAATGGCAAATTCTGTTCATTCTGTGTCCTGCCTTCCCTGCTGCCCTGCCTTGTGTGTCTTGCCTGTAACGTGCCCTTGGATAATTGTTGGGTGGTTTAGTTTCTGCGAAAAGGCCAACTAGGACCACAGCTGGATATTTTTGGGAACGTCATTACCTCCTATTAGGAAACTGGGAAACAGACTAAAGGCTGTGTGCATGGATAAGGGAATGCCAAAATTGAGCTCTGTAACTTTCATCTGTGTTTTGTGGCAGGCTGTATAAGTTTCGCGTGGTGCTGCCTTTTGTAGTCAGCTCATTTCAGACAAAGGGGAACTGTTGAATCTTTGTGCTTAAGATCCCGAGTAGAACAATGAATTTGGAGCGAGACTTATTCTTGTTGGCAAGGTAACCTGTTTTGGGACTGTGTTGCCTGGCCTGCAGTGTGTTAGTAGGCATTCTTGTCCTATACAATTCCTGTTGTTGTGGTGTTCCTTTAAACAGCCCCTAAAAATGATTAGAATTTCTGTCTTCCTACCTGAAGTGTAGTATATTGGTTTTTTGCTTCCAGATGGCCACTGAATTTCAGAGTGGGTGAATATAAATGTCCATTCCACATGATCCTTGGCATCCACAGGCCTGTGTTAACAAACAGGACATAAGTTTTCTGGCATATATGGTCCTTACATTTACCTGAGTAGTTGTAAGAAAACTGTTACCTGCTACACTGGCAACTGGAACTGTAAGATGCTGGCAGATGATGAGGGAAAGTCAGAGTTCAAGTTCAGGGCTTTGCCTGAACAAGGTGCCCTGAGACTGTGGCTCTGACTCAGGCTGTGAGGAAGGGCTTCTTTTCACAGCACAAAGTGGCGACTGGAAAAGTAGTTTCTACCCAGTTTTTAAATGTGTTGCTCCAAAGGACAAATCCTACCTTGTCTTTTCTGCATGTTTAACTTGTATTTTTGTTATGGAGAGTGCAAGAAAGATCATTGGCCTTCTTTAGAGTCCTGGCATGCTGCCTAGGCCAAGTGCTCAGTTGAGTAGGTACCAAAGCAAAATGCAGTCATGCAGCTTTTAATGATCTCCTTTTTTTTTTTCTCCCCCCAGGTGTTTGCTATTACATAGTTCAGACATTCACTAGTTCTCAAAAGTGCTATTTCAGCCCCATAATGTTATTCTCATTGCTGCCATTTCGAGAATGTTGCATTTGAGAGGGGTTTTTTTTGTGCAGTCTCTTGGTGTGTTTTACTTTCAGACTTGCTGAATCTGTCCTCCAGAGCTGTTCAAACTGTGCCATTTTTCTTTTAGGTTTGTGAACAGGAGATGCACAGCCCTGGTTATTACAGCTGCAGAGGATAAGATTTTCGTTGCAGACAAGTCTGGTGATGTCTATTCTTACTCAATAACAGAACCTCAGGCAGATGGAAAACTTGAGCTGGGTCATGTGTCTCTGCTGTTGGATGTGGTGAGTGTGTGCATTGTGTATCTGCTGTACAAACCTGCATTCCTGCTTGTGTTTGTCCCAGATTTATGAGGGATTGTTGCTTTTGTCCCAGATTTATGAGGGATTGTTGCTTTTGTCCCAGATTTATGAGGGATTTTTTTAATATAATGTATGTGGACTTGATTACTTCTCAGATGAGTTCATGGCATCAAAGTTTGGCAAGGAAAGAAGCTTATCAAAAGGGTTATGTGTTCTGGGAATATTGAAAAAGATTTGGTGATGGAATATATATGGGAATTCACCCAGTCTGTCATGTCAGTTGAGCTGTTTCAATGTGATAAGTTTCTTTTTAATATCAGTGGGATTTCCACCTGAACAGTGGCTTTCACTGGACTTGGAAGTCAACATCACTTGTCTTAGTGAGGGAGAAAATTACTGTCATAAAGATTTATGCTTAAATTGTCAGGGGAAAAGAGAGGCTTAGTGTTTTCAGCTGTCTTTTGGAGTGAGGAGATACAGATAGTTTACTGCTTTTCTGTTTTCTTAGTTAAGTAGAGTTACAAGCATTGAACTACTGGGCACTAAAACTCTTCCTTTACCAACAGGCTCTGAGTCCTGATGACCAGTACATCCTCTCTGCAGACAGAGATGAGAAGATCAGAGTCAGCTTGACAAAGGCTCCTTACAGTATTGTATCCTACTGTATGGGGCACAGAGAGTGAGTTCACTTTGGGCAAAAGTCATTGTGTGCAGCTCTTGCCTGCACATCCACCTTCAGTGTATGAAATTGTCTCCTCAAATCATATTAAACAACACCCTGGTCTGAGATAGAGTCATTGAATGGTCTGGGTTGGAAGGGTTAAAAGTCATCTAATCCAAACCCCCTGCAATAAGCAGGGACATCTTCAACTAGATCAGGTTGCTCAGAGCCCTGTCCAACCTGGCCTGGAATGTTTCCAGGGATGGGGCATCCACCATCTCTCTGGACAGCCTGTTCCAGTGTTTCACCACCCTCACTGTAAAAAAAATTTCTTTCTTGTGTCTAGTCTGAAAGTAGGCTCTTAGTTTAAAGCCAGTACCCCTTGTCCTGTTGCAGCAGGCCCTTCTAAAAAACTCTGTCCCCGTCTTTTTTATAATCCCCGTTTAGGTGCTAGAATGGAGTAAGGTGTCCCTAGAGCCTTCTCTTCTCCAGGCTGAACAACCCCCAATTCCCTCAGCCTGTCTTCATAGCAGAGGTGCTCCAGCCCATTGATCATTTTGATGGCCTCCTCTGGACCTGTTCCAACAGGTCCATATCTTTTTTGGACCTGGGGACTCCAGAGCTGGACACAGCACTCCTTTGGGATCTCACCAGAGTAGAGGAGCAGAATCCTGTTGGCCACAGGAGGCTTCAGAGCATAGAGATTGTTGGTTCAGGATGGAGCCTACCTTAGTCTTAGGAAGTCTTTGTGGTCTAAGCATATGATAATTAATTTAATGGCATCTCAATGCAGAGCTCAGACTTGGAGGTTCTGCCTGGACAGTAGGACTGTAGTGTGCTGGAGACTGAAGTATGATCCCATTAAATATATTCAAGGAAGGGAACCTACAAGAAAGATGGAGAGAGACTATTTATAAGAGCCTGGAGTGACAGGACAAGGGGAAATGGCTTCAAAATGAAAGAGTAAGTTTAGATATTAGGAAAAAGTGGGTGGTGAGGCCCTGGCATAGGTTGCCCAGGGAGGTTATGGATGCCCCATCCCTGGAACTGTTCAAAGCTAAGTTGGATGGGGATCTGAGCAACCTGGTCTAGGGGAAGGGGTCCCTGCCCATGACTCAAAAGGCAAATAAGCTTTTAAGTCTTTTCTCTTTTACATTTTACTGCTTAAAATGTCTATCAGTTGTGGTATTCTCAAATTCTTTTGACTTTGCCTTCCAGCTCTGCGTGGTTTCGTGGGTTTTTGAGTAGGGTAGGTGGGTCATACAATGTTTTTTTTTATTTGACTACTTCTACATTTTGAAGTCCACACTGACCAGGTAGCAGAGAATACCTACCACTGCACATGTTGGAGAAGGCATGTCATTCTGCTTGTCTGGCTGCTGAGTTATTTGGGGATAACAATACCCTTCCACTCACATTCTTCACATTCTAAGATGATGCAGCATGGTGCAGTCAACTCACTCTGTCAAAAACAGGAGTTAAACAAAGAGTGTTACTGGGAAGCTTGAGTGATGAGTAGCAACCTATCTAAACTTGCCCACTAAGGTGTTTGAATAGAGCATTTAAAACACAGATTAATTTGGAGTGGAAGTTTGATATTAATAACATAATTTGGGGGGTTAAACTGTAGAATTTAATTGAATTTGTCGAATTGTATAAAAGAAAAAAATAATATTAACAATCCGAGTAGTCTTTGATCAGGTGAGTGTCTGTAGCATATTTACAGATCCATGTCTGATGTTTCCACCTACTGTGTACACAGTACTTTCTATGAGAAAGACACTTTTAAATGGGGGCTGTTGTGTCTGCACAAGGAGTTCATCAGTGGTTGCAGAGTGAAAAGGCACTTAGTGTGAAATGATTGAAATACATCTAAAAAAAAATCAATATTTAAATTAGGAATGCATAAGAAAGGGTTACACAAAGCAGCTGTGATTGTCTTGTTTCACAGTCCTGAATTTTTTCCTCTCCACGGGGCACGTGGTGATTCTTGCTGGATCTATTCTGCCTGCATGCAGCTGCCATTTCTGCTTTGACACGAAATTTTGTATTACAGTGACCAAATCTCTTCTGTTTTTTTTTACTCCATGGCCTCAAAATTGTGCCTGTTTTCAAAAGCAAGACTGTTCCACTCAGGTAATGTTCTGCTCAGGTCACTGTACTTTAGGTTGCTGAGCTCTAAGATAATGATGAACTCCAAAAGTTCAGGTCCTTGGTACTCACCAAAGACAAGTCATGGTAGACACAGAGTATTAAAACTATCACTGGTGTGTTTTAAAAGAATCTGTTGGTTCATGTTTTTAATGTGCATCATGGACTGAGAAAGGGCAACATGCTACCTGAGTACATCTGTCTCCACTGGCATTTTTTGTTCTAAATGACAGTGTTCTCAGCTGGGAGGAAGTCAGTAGAATTCCCTGAGTGCAGATGGGGAAATATATTTCTTTATTAAGTAGAAAGTCAGTAGTTTGTGTAGTGCATATATACTAAGTACCATAGACCTGTTTTTTTCTTCCTCCTCATTATCTTGATGTGGAAAGTCTGTTTATTTTAAGGTTCTCTTTAAAGTTGGTGGTTTTTCTTACTGTGTGTGTTTAAAGACCAGAGTGTCATGCAAGAGAGTTCAACTTTTGACTGCTTTCCCTTTAGGTTTGTAAGCAAAATATTTGTAATACCCAACTGTCCTGATCTGCTGTTGTCAGCCTCTGGGGTATGTATTGCAATTTCTTTGAAAAAAGTGTTTTGTTTTCTTTTTTTTTTTAAACTTTAGACTAGTGGTTTGGCCAAGTACCTTGGGATATTTGGAATAATCTTTCCTAGTTTACAGCACAGTCTTCTTCTCTCCTTCCCTCCTTTTCTTGGCTTTCTGTTCAGTATTCAGCCACTCTATTGGTAGATCATATAAGAACCTTTTACTGTGCTTATAGTAAAAATATCTCTGGGATGGCAAAATCAATGTCCTGAGTATTTCTTCAACGTGAATGCTTGCTTTGGAGCACAGACAAACTTCAATCATTGGGCCATTGAACAACTTTGAATCAAATGGGTTTTGTGCCAGCCTGCCATGATGATGAGTGTCTTGAGAATGAACAACTTAGAATCAAAGATTATTGTTTTTTAGAGGTTTTAAAATGAGGCAACTGTCCTCTCTACACCCTCCCGTGTGCTTTCCCTTGTGAGACTTGCTCTGAATTATGTTCTTGTCAGTATGTCCTCATCCAGAGCATGTTGTGTAGAGGTTGCAGTGCAGTGCTGCACAGTGCTTGGGTGAGGACTGAAGAAGGGAGTTTTCCCTCCTTTCCCTCCCCAGCCCTTTTCCTAAATTGATGGCATCCTGCTGCCATGCCAGATCTGCACAGAGCAGGTAGATGGTGTTGGTCTAAAAGAAGGGAAACAATATTCTTTGTTTCCCAGACTACCAAAACTGCATAGGAAACAAGCAGTGTGTTCTGTGAAGATCATAATAATTCTTAGCATTTGCTTCCCTAAGGCTCTTGTCCCTCTAATTATTTAAGCAGCTCTAGTGTTAGTGCTGTGCACGAGCATATTTCATTGTTAGCAAATGCCCTTTCATGACTCTGTTTTTCCAGAGAGGTGTTTAACTTCTCTCCAGGAGGTTACTAAATCAAATGAGAATTTGGATGATAACAAGAGCAGGGGGCAGAGAAGGGCAGCCTGAAAGAATTGCCATTAGAATGCTGAGCACATGTGTTACTGTGTTATTGGAGACAGACTTGAAATGCACTTCTCCAGCTACCCAATTTCCACTTCAAAAGGGGAATTAAAATTAGCATGATTGAATAATTTAGAAGAGAGGGGAAAATTATGTTAATTAAAATGCTTTATCTGCAATTTGAGGTCTTAACTAAGTGACTATTTAGCAGCTTCTGTGGGGAGCTCTTCAGGGAAATAAGGTTTAGCTGAAGGCCATGAGTGACTTCTCTTTGCCTGAGGTGCTGTTAGTAATAGACTTGTGTCCACTGCCATCTGTCCAGGACTCGACTCTGAGACTCTGGGAGTATAAAAGTGGAGAAGAAGTGCACTGCTGTCAGCTAAGCAGCATCTGTGGGCCTGAGGCAGCCAAAACTGACCAGGTAATTTTGTTAAAAGTGTCTCCAGTCAGTGAGTAGAGAACTTATGTGAGACCTAAAAACTGTTACAGTAGCCTGGGATTTTGGGAAAGGAGGAAAGTCCCTGAAATCCATTCCTGTGTCTTGTGTGCATTTATAAAAAGTACCAAGCAGTGACCAGAAGAAGCTGCTTGTAATTCTTCCCAAATACAAGTTCTGCATGGTGGACAAAGCCTTCTCTTGAATTTTTTTCCAAAAACACAGGTGCTATGTTAACCAGGCAATATGTTGGAAAGATCTAAACATTCACCCATTTTTTTAAAATGCTTAAAATTTCAAATGAAGTGTTAAAGTTGCAATTTTTCTGAGCAAAAAAGCAGCTTTGTAATATTTGTAACCAGTGATCTGCAGTACTGCCCTGTGGAGTCAAAACTGGGCTTGTTCCTTTAGGTTGTTCTGCAGCTGGATAGTGTCCAAAATTAAAATCTATGAGTCTTATGTGAAAACTGAATACCCCAGGAGCTCTCCTGAGCTTCCAGCCTGTACTTGAGTGGTGTCACACACACAATTTGGGGTGCTGCTGTGATCTGAGGTGTTACTCTGATGTGAGCAGTCGTTCTGGTTGTGTTTGATCTCTGGTTTTGTTTTTTCTTGTGCTGTGGTTATCAGAAGACCTGTTAGCAGTCAAACAGCACCAGTCCCTGTCCCTGCTGTGTGGCTGGTGTTAAACCAGCTGCTAACCTGTTGGGTTGTTTAAGAGTTACCACCCATCCTGCTGGGTGTGTTTGTCGTGGGAATGTCTAAAAACACTTCTTTCCCTGAAGACCACAGCTGTTTCCCAGGTGTTAGGTAATGGGAAGCCTGTATCCATGCATGGCTTTTGAGACAGATCCACTGTGGAATCCATATCCAAGCTGGAATTGAACTGACAAGCTCTGTCTTCCCTCCCTTGTGTTATGTTGTGGTTTGGGTAGTCAAAAGTATGTTGTGCTTGGCCTCTCCACACACTTGGAAGCCGCTTGGATCACAGCTTTCAAGGCTCAGATATTGGAAATCTTTTGGGTTTGGCCCAGAGTTCCTGTTAGCAGGGATTCTGGGTGGTATCTATATGGACAATTCAACCTGCTCCTGAGCTTGAAAGTGTATTTTAAAGCACAGGTACCTGTCATGCACATTCACAAGGTCTCTGGCTCATTCCAACTTGATGTTGGCGCTTGAAATATTTGAAGAAGCTGTTGCTGGGTTTTTTCACAAGTAAAAAACGGGGGTTCCAAAATGAGGTGATGAGCCCATTTAGTTGGTATCCACTGATAGTCTGGGTGCAGCAGGATTTGAGTGAGGAAAGGAGAATTGAGTGTGAGGCATACCTACAGAATTACCATGTACAACCTTCTGGAAATAAGTGGCTCAGGGAGTAGCTAACAAGAGTGCTTTGTTGAAACAATGTGGTTTGGTAGCCATGCAATCCATGTCTGCAGCAATATTGCAAGGCACTTCTTTTGTAGGGAATAATGGTTTTATTTTAAAATATTTTGCCTTCTAGGTTTATAGGAGCACTGAGGACTAGTAAGCAACCAGCTGTGAAGTGGGGAATCCAATGATTAATTTTAAAATTGCTGCTTGTTGCTTAGTCTGGCTTAGCATTTAGTAAGATGGCTTACATGTAAATTAACAGTGCTTGGTCTCACACTGAATCTTAACTTCACTGTTTACAATTTTATCAAAATAATATTAAGCTATGTAATGGACTATAAATGTAGCATCAGATAAACTAACAAATTTCAAAAAACTTACTTACTGCAGGCAGGAATTGATTTAAAAATACTTTTTGACTCTTTCAGAATGTTTTTGAAGGCTCTTGAATGCAGTTTAATAACATTTGCCTTGTCTCCTAACACACCTGATAAAGTGCCTTCCAAAGGATATATTTTATGCTGATGTCTCAGGAGAAATCTGGGGTGCCCTTTGTTTGAGGAGTCTCTGTTTAGCTTCTTTACCTCAGTGTGAGTAAGCAAAAGACAGAAAGGGAAAGCCCACAAACTGTGAGCTAATAAATATAAACAGCAATCAGTTAATAAACCCCGTTCCTGCAGTGTTTTGCACGTGTTCCATCCACTTCCCTGTGTCTCCTGATGGTGATTTTGGAAGCCCCAGGCTGTCCTGTTTCTTGAATCTGTGAAATCCTGCTGGCTGCCCACCCTCACAGGTGTTTTAGAGGGAAAGGAGACTTGTGTTTTGATGGCATCATAGTGCTAGAAATGCCAGAGGTGACGTCTGGTGACAGTATTTAGTCATGCTGTGCATCCAGGTGTATCACAGATCATCTTCACAACCTAGTGAGACATTTAACAGTCTGAATTTAAGGAAACAACCTCTTGAGTCTGCACTTTACAGGTTGTAATTAGCACATTGTCTGCAAATGAGTCTGCAACCAAAGATCAGGTGGGGATGGAAGTGCTTTTTCTTCTCTTTAGTGTTATAATTCATTTTTACCATTAATAAACACTGTGAATGCTCTGAAGCTTGAGACACAGCTTGAAGCACAATGAGAATGGAATCATCAGTAATGATGGGTCATGTGAGCACAAAAATGTGGGCTTATTTTGCTTGGCAGATGATGAATATGTGTCTGTTTTGGGAATGTAGGAGTGTTTTGAGCAGTGTAGCATTGGTTTCAGCTGATGGGTTGCAGATCCTCAGTTCATTTTCCCACTAGAATGGGAGTAATTCTCTAATTCCATAGTGCTATATAAATATTTTTCCTGCTTCAGAGCTTTCACCTCATCTGATCCTCTTGACAGCAGAAGCTTGTTTAAAGTCCAGAATGTGAATTGCACAACTCTACCCCAGTGCACCAGTACAGTAATTTCTTATAGGGTCACCTCTTCTCCCAGATGACATCAAAATATAATTTTAACATGTTGCCAGGCTGATAACAGTGTTGCATAAACCCTGATTAGTTCAGAGAGTATCAAGTGAACATCTGTTTATCACAGACTGTTCCTTTAGCTCTTCCTTAACTGATTTCGTAGGCTTGTCCTTGACCAAGATACTACTGTAGGTCTTGCATTTCCTTTGCTGATTGTTAACTTGCCCACACATGGGAAGGAAAGAGCTTGGAAAGAAGTTACATTTTTTTTGTCTCTTTCCAGCTGTGAATAAAACTTGGTTCAAAGCAAAAATCATCCTCCTCCTCCTCCCTCCCCCAGTCAGGGTGGGGGAAAGCTGCTGCCTAATTGAGGTTCACAGAGCCCTTTGTCTCTCTAACAAAGCACTTGGCTGTGTAGGTGGGCACTTTCCTGCATGTTTGTCAGGCAACAGGTAGAAAGGCAGAGCTTTATTATTAGAAATAAATATCACATGCTTCAGCTTTGTTAATATATGTATCTCTTGGCTTCTTCCCTCAAGTGTCTGAGGAACTCACTGGTGGTTTACAATAAATAGGAGCTGTCAGTTCTACTCCAGAGCTGTGGTGTAAATGGCTCTGTACTGCAGAAAGTACATTTAGACTTATTAGCTACAGAGAACCTTTCTGATTCAGCCCACTCATCCCACCAGGTATTGGGAACCATAAGCATTTTTTATGTCTGTGTGAAACAGGGGTCCTGGGTCCCGGTGCTAAATGTGGACTAACAACTTTGTATTTCTCCAGAGTAGCAAGAGATTAGTCCCATCTGTTCCCAGGAGCCCTGAAACATATCAGTCCTTTTGATAATGGTTTTTATAAAGTGCTCCTCTTCTGTACAAGCAGGCAATTGAGCATGTGAGTGAAAAGTGTGTGCCTGCTGTTCTTGCTTCCCTCCCATGAGATTGTATCTCACAGAGGATCTTTTCTTCTCATTTGCTGGAGATGCACGGTGGAACCCTGTTTTTCAGCTGTATTTATACCACTAATTAACTTTCTTTCCCACGGTTGGTTTATCTTTTAGTAGTTGCATCCTGTAATGTTGACAAAATAGTTGTCTTCTGCTGTTAAACCTCCAGACTTGAATATTTGGAAGCTGTACAGCTTGCTTTGCTTCCTTACACTGATTGCAAAATTCCAAAGCAAGCACCCTGACAATGCCTGTACATCAGCTGGTAGCTCCAAGGCTAAAATCCCATGGTTACTCCCAAATTCAGCTTCACTTAGTGAACCAGAGGTTCTGTCTAGTGACCAGTGTTGTGTTAGGGAAGGAGGTGGGGGTAAAAGTAAGGAAAACTTGAGGATGCATCAGAATCCTGCCAGCAGAGTGTCAAGAAGATATATTTTCCCTGCCCTAAAGGAAATAATTCACTGCTGCTCCAGTAGTAAGGTTTTAGTCATCAGAAGTGCTGGTGTTGTCACTGCTTATTAAATATTCTTGAGAACCTGCCTTCTGCTGTTGCAGTTTTGTCTTTCACGTTATATAACAGATACTTCTGAAAAAGGCACCCCAGGACATCATCTTGCAGGTTCTCTGCTCCTCTCAAGTTCTTACTTCCCACTCAAGGAACCACAAATCAGTTGTTATTTGTTTCAAGTAGTGTGGTTTGTGCAGCAAAGGTATTTCTCTGCTTCTCTCCCAAACAAAACTATATAGCTTCTAAATTAGGAGTGTGATGTGGGGGGTTTTTTTTGTTGTTGTGTTGGTTTTGGGGTTTTTTTTAATGAGGAAAATGGCCTCAGGCAGTTGTTCCTTGTTCTTCAGAACACATTTTCTGTGGAGCAGTGTGGCTTCACCCAGACACAGGTTGAAAACAGCACAGCAGGGATATTAGGGATATTAGCTATGCATCACTGTCTTTGTTTTTTAACAACCATAACAGCAGCTAATAGCCTGTGTTTGTAATATCTAAGCTGCTGGTGTGATATTCTGGCAGAGCAGGCTCAATGTCAATGTTTTTGCCATCAGCATTTGTCATTTGACAGCACTGCAGGAGAGAATATTTGAAGGTGGTGTACTTTTCCTTCATGTGTTAGTTTGTCTGCTAAGAGTAGTTCACTCAAACCTTTACATTGGATCTCTGGAGAGCGTGGAAGGGAAAAGTTTATAAACCAGCAAACACTGGTACAAAAATAAATTGGGCTGCAGTTTGAAGGTAATGATGTTGCTTAACTTGCTGTAAATTAAGACATCTGCTAAATTTTAAAGGCTGAGGTGTGAAATGGAATGTGAATTTTCTGCCCATAAGTGGTCTTAACTTACAAGGATGTTTCTTTTTCTATTCCTAATAGAAATACACCGTGTCAAGAATAACCTACTGCTGTCAAGGTGGTTATGTTGCCATTCTATGTGACAGGTAAGAATCAATGGAATAATGCCCAAAATCCTCACAGCTCCTGCAAAGGCAAGAGCAGCTTTCCCTGCTGGCTCTCCCAGCATTTCCCCAGCCTGCAGTACTTGGTACTGTGGATCTCCAAATGTCCCAGGCATTGCCTGTGGCCTCACAGGGAGCCTCTGAGTCCTTACTGTGCTTGGTCTGAGCACATCTGAGTCCTTATTTGCTTGGTCTGAGCACAGAGGTGAGCGAAAGGGTTACCCTGCTTGGTTCAGTTTGGCAGATTTTGTGATGCTTTTCCCTCACAGGAGGAAACTCGAGGCTTGGATGTACCAGAGTCCCGTTCTCCCCAAATTGCTGTGCCTGACCCTGTGGTTTGGGTCCCGTTTTGTTCAGGGTGCTGTGGCAATGGAGCAGCCAAACTTCTGTTACCTGTAAATGAGTTCAGCCATTCTGTTTAAAACTGTGGAGAGGCCACATTGACTTTTGGGTTCAGATGTGTGTCTGTGTGAGGAGAGGGTGCTCAGGAGCTGATGGGCCTGAGCACTGGGGAGCCTTACAGATGCATCTGGTGGGGCAATGTCCTGTGGGGATGGACAAGCCCTCTTTCCACATCACCTTAAGTCTGCTAAGGAAGGTGTTCTTCCTGACAAAAGCTTGCCAACAGGAAAAGGGAGGGATTGCCAGAGCTGCCTGTACAGTGAAAGAGGCAGTTTGTCCCTTGCTCTTTTGCCAAAGTAAGGAGCCTTAGCTGCTTCCCATTGCACCTTCTGCATGGACATCCACACTGGCCCTGGAAGGGGAAAGCCCTGTTCCTTAGGCCAGGGGCCACATTGTGCTCTGCATCAGGCTTTTATTTTCAACTCCACAGCCCAGTGGTTTTAAACAGGGCTGTCATGGGGACCTGGTGGGCCACTCAGGAGGGAGCTCAAGTGTCCTGCCTGTCCAAGGGAGATCAGGAATCATGTGGAGACTGTGGTGGTTAGAGGAGAGAGTGCTGATGGGAGAGGTGGAAAAGAGAGCAATGGCAGAGCCGTGTTCTTCAGCTGTGTCAAGATGTCCTGTCCCTTTCATTCCTTCCTCCCCTCCCTTTCCTGGTTTATTTTGACTGGTGTTCAGCTACATATTCCTTCAAGCCCTGTAGGTCAGTGTGCCATGATACAACTTTCCTTACATAAATCTTTAGTAATCCTTATGAAATTCCCTTTACTACCTTTTCTTTTAAACAGAAGTCAGCACTGACTGCTTTTTTTTCAGGTAACACTTGAAAAGCCATTTGACATGTTGGGTATTTACAGCTTCTGACTCAGATCATGTAATCAAACTGCACTTGAAGTGCTAGAGTATTTTTTTTTTTTTTTTGCAGTTCCTAATGACTTTGCTTTGGCTCTGCTTGGAATTAGAGTGGGTGTCCATAGTTTGCTCTACAAGTGATGGATGTAGGTGGATTTTGCAATGATGCTAATTAAGTTTTCCCTCTCAAAAGCATTCCCACAGTCTACATCTTTCAGCTCGATGCCACTGCCCAGCAGCTCGTTTACAAGCAGCAAATCCCTTTGCAGCATAAAGGTTGGGACATTGCTTTTGGGGAAACGGGAGATCTGTGGATTTTGCAGGAAGACAAGGAAGCTCCTCTTCAGTTGTACAGAGCATGTGATGGACAGTGGAAGGTACCTTGCTAATGCTAACATCCTAAATGTTTTGTGTTGTCTTGAGACCACAACGAAAATGGAGCTAATTATGTTTCATGAAAGATGAAAGGCACTTTTCTCTATGTCCTGAGAAGGATAAAAGCCATAGATGCACATCTCATTCTGTTTCTCACCTGTGTTTAACTCAAAGGTGTCAGAAGCTTGTTATGAATACCAGTGTATCCTCCAGCAAAGCTGACATCTGGAACAGCAGGATCAAGCAGAGTGGTTGTCAACCATTGCACTCAGTATTTTAAACTGTTTCCTGTGTTAGATAAGAAAAAAAACATGGAACAACCAAATCCCTTCTGGTTTGCTCAGGAATGCTTTTCACACAGCCTTCCTTGTGGCTGCCTCTGAGGGATCCTTTGAAGGACAAGGCATTCTGGGAGTATTAAGGGAATTATAACAGGGAATAAATTTGGAGGGATGTGCTATCAGGTTCTCTGTAACAGCCTGTTAAACAACTGGAAACTCATTTGTTATGCTTGTGAGTGCACAGCTAATTATGGTCTAGTTGTGAAGTGGTTTTAAATGAAACTTTTCAATGTGGTCTTTGACCTTATGTGTTCTTGTGATGCTCCTTTTCCTCACAGATTAGTAGGTGAGCATCCAGTTTCTTTTCATTTGAGCCCCAAAGCTTTCCCAGCAGAACACGAGATTTCAGTCTGGGTTTCAATACCGGTCCTGGGAAAAAGGAGCCCCAAAGAGATCACGAAGGGCTTACACTTGCTCTGTGTCACTATACTCTTCTGAGAGCTGTTGCATTTTTCTCTGTGCTGTGAAACATTAAATCATTTAATAATCCCAGAATATCATGCAGCATTCCTTCTTTCCCCAGGCTGTAACTGATGACAAAGGATTGCAGAAGATGTCAAAATATATTCAAGACAACTGGACGGTGTTCGAAGGTGAGAAATTTGGCCTGAAGGCCCAGGGAATGCAATTTTTTGCAGCTAAAGAACATGATTTAGGAACAAGATTAGAGTTGAGGTCAGTTCAGGTGTTTTCTCAGTTTCATCACTGGGAAGTGAATGTAGATCATGAAGTGTGTTCAGGTTACTGTTATCACAAAATGATGTAGGGATTTAGAGCTGAATTGCAGGATTATAAGTGTTTCCCGTAGACACCTTATCACAGGGATGTGTCTCAACACCCTGTGGCAGAGCTGCTGGAGTCTGTCTTCCTGCTGTCATGTCATGTACAGTTGTTTGTCCTGTCTCTTGCCTGGGTGTGACACTTTTATCAGAGGTACAGTGGAGCCAGTTAGAATGGAATAACCATGGGAGGAGCAGCTTTGCTGTAAAAATGGGCCATACAGATCCACCTTGGCAAGGCAGAGTTCGTGGAGCCTGCTGTGGCTGGAAGGTGTGACCCTGGATGATATCACAGATGACATTGATTAATACCAGGGATGGCTCATTTTGTTCTTAATTTCTACGCCACTTCCAGTCTCTGGCAGAAAAAAAAATAATGCCTGCTTTACTAGTTCAGAAGCACCCAATGTTTCCAGGATTTTTTTGTGTTTAAAAAACACCCAGCTTTATTTAGAAGCTGAAATAATGGCAGTGGTGGTGCAGGGTAGAGAAGGGTTGTGGTATATACTAAAGTCTCAATTATGTATTGAGACTTTATTAATTGAAATTTCTCTCCTGTACTTCACTGGGAGACTGGGAGCCTTCCTTAAAGAAAGTGTTACAGTTCTCCCCAGTCTTTTGGTCTGTTCATGGTGGCCATATGTAAAGATGGAAGAGTTGCAGGAATGTGCAGTCTGGTGTAAAGTCTCCTTAATATCTAGTGTTGATTTAGCATGTAGCTGTCATTAAGTTGGTCATTAAGTGGTAATTAAGTTGGTACAGTCTTTGAAATCTAAGTCAGGTACTCCTCTAGAAGGGAGGTGTTTGCATGTAGACGTTGCAGGCTTAATAGTTCACAGCCAGGCAGATAATTAGGAGTATGAGGTCTGAGTGAAAATGAGCACAGAGAAGGAAAAAGAGCAGGCAGGGGAAGAGGTTCTGAGCATAATTAGCCCGTGGAACAAATGACTGATAGGAGGTACCCGGCTGTGTCTGCAGCTGGGAGAGGGAGGACGGCTCAGATGACAGGGTTCATTATTGCTAATTAGTAAGGGGAGGCTCACTTGATGAGCACTTATTCCAGTGCATAATTAGTGATTCAAAGGTAGTTACATCTCCTAAAAAAAGTGATCATTACGTTGTTTAAATCCAGTCTTACATTGCTTAAATCCAGTCTTAATGCCTGCATATTGTCCTTGTTTAACCTGGCTGAGGATTCTGTTGGATTTAAGATACATCAGTCAGTCTGGAAGTATCACAGAATCATAGAATAGTTTGGGTTGGAAAGGACCTTAAAGATCATCTTGTTCCAACCCCTGCCATGGGCAGGGACACCTTCCACTATCCCAGGTTCCTCCAAACCCTGTCCAACCTGGCCTTGGACACTTCCAGGGATGGGGCAGCCACAGCTTCTCTGGGCAACCTGTGCCAGGGCCTCACCACCCTCATAGTAAACAATTTGTTTCCTAATGTCTAATCTAAACCTCCTCTCAGTCTGAAGCCATTTCCCTTTAGTTCACACTGAACAGTGAAATTGTGTTATAACAGAAAAAGGTAGAGTGAGATTTAGTGCAGGCTGATCAAGTGGTGGGTAGCAAGAATATTTTAGCTGACAGCACACCATGTCTCCCAGGGCAAAAGGCCAAAAAAGACATTACTGTGTGAGTGCAAAACCCCTGAAAGTCTGAGAACCAGCAAGGGAAAGTTGCTTTGTCTGTCTACCGAGAAACAGGGGGATGCTGTATATACATTACAGTAGCTTCAGGACCAAACCTTAGCAAATCATGGGTTTCCCTGCATTTCTCCTTTAAGATCATGAATTTTGGTATGTGGGAAAGGGTGGGAATACAAAGAGAACAGGAGGTAACTGGCTTTTTTTAGAAATGTGGACCTAACCAGATAGTCTTTTCCTATATTCTCTACAGACACAATCTGGTTGGGGATTTTTGGATAGCAGTTAGTTCCCTGTTAAATTCATCTAAATCTACAGCCTCAGTGTGAGGAATATTATACTGAATTCACAGAAGATGTAACAAAATCATTGGAGTGAGTGCTTAGAAATGTGTGTGTGCTGTAGGACATAACTGCTTGAAGTCTACTCCTTTGGGCTTCTTTAAAGTTAGTACTCCAGGGAAAAGTAGCTGAGCACAGTTAGGTAGCAACGACCTTGGGGGGAGTTGTCTTGGGGGACAACTCCAATGGGACATCAGGACTGCAGTCATTTCAAAAACAGAAGCCTTGAAGTCTCCAAGTGTCCAGCATGTGAGGAGAGCTGCATCCTCTCTTTGCTTCCACATCAGGTGCTTGCCTCTCTATGAATTTTTTAGCCTAAAAATAGAGGTTATGCCTGGTTGTGTGAATGCTGAACAGATGCTTGCCAACACAAATGGGGCTTACACAGGGTAAATATTAATATTTAATCACAGAGTGGTTTGGGTTGGAAGGGACATTAAAGATGATCTCATTCCAAACCCCTGCCATGGATAGGGACACCTTCCACTAGGCCAGGTTGCTTCAACCCCTGTCCAACCTGGCCTTGGACACTTCCAGGGATGGGCAGCCACACTGTTCCAGTGTCTCACCACCTTCACAGGGAGGAATTTCTTCCCAACATCTAATCTAAATCTTCCCTCCTTCAGCTTAAGACCATTCCCCCTTGTCCTAATACTACATGCCCTTGTGGAAAGTCCTTCTCCAACATTCTTGTAAGCCCCCTATAGGTACTGGAAAACTGATAAAGCTGTGGTCCTGTGTAGGACCACAGTAAATGAGTTGAAATGCCACTATCCATAGTTACAGTGCAGGAAGTAATTGATGAGACTGCTAAGGGAATTAACACTTGTCATCTTGCTTTGCCCAACTGCAGGTTTTGTTGGTGCAGGAAGCTACTACAGACACCTCTACAAGGCTTCATTTGATAACATGGATGAATATCTACAGAGGAAGGAGGAAAGGTTACAGCAGCAGAAAAAGAAAAGGCAGAATCTGCAATGTGGTTCCAATGGACAGACAAAAAAAAAGATGAAGGCTGAAGAGTCATCACTATGACTGTTGTTAACTTGTACCTTTTGCCTTGATGAAAGGAGGTGATCCAACTGCAGACTGTTTTTATATGTAAAATGAATTCTGGAAGAAGACTGGTTTAAACTTTTATTCAGGTTTTCAGGTAACCTGATGTGACAACATCCTGCTTGCAGCACATAATGCATTTACAATATGCCTGAGCTTTAGCAGCACTCAGTGTTAGTGGTTCAGTCCTGGGAATCTCTGATGCATGACATATGAATATTGGAGATGGTATTTTCCTTGAAACAGGATCTTCTTTTTGCCTACTGTGTCCAGGCTTTCTTCTTCAGGTGGAAACACACCTGATGTGATTTTCTTTTGGTTTGGTTTTGGGTTTTTTTAAACTTTCTAAAAGTTTTCTTAGTTAATATATCTAACTTAGTGTACCTGGCTATGGGAAAGGGAATGTAGCAAAATTCTTGCTGTATATGAGAAGTTTTAGCTGAGAATTTCTCTTTGTCTTCCCTTCAGTTTACATGGTTGGGATTCTGCCTAGTTTCTAATCCATTGCTTCTTACTTGTGAAATATTTCTATAGGAAGAAGTGAAAAAGTTGATTTTTTATTTACAAAGTAAAAGTAAAATGTGTCAGTCAACTTTTGTGTTATTGGAAGACCCTTCTATTGCAATATGATCCTGCTGTGTCTGTAAAAATCATTTGAGAGGCCTGTGAGCAAAACCTGGAGTGCATCCTGCTTTCTTCAGCAAGAACTCTTCCATGTTGCAATTAGCCAAGAAATACATCTTTTTGAAAAGTTATCAACCAGAACCTTAGGGGATCACTTGTTGCTTCATCATGGGGCAGAAGATGTGTTCATCTACCAGATGGTATCATGTCCTGTATGGAATAAAATGTACTTTACAAAACCAGGTGTAGAAATCTGTACAATCCATTAAAAGTATTCAGAATGAACCTATGAACCATGAATAGTTCTGTAGGTCTCTTTATGTAGCTCTCCCCTCTGGAGTATCTGGACACTTAAAATTTTTGCACTCGAATTCTAGCTACACTAATGTTTGAGACATTTTGAGATGTAGCTTGTTTTGAGGTTGTCAGGTGTGAAGCAGAACTTTCTGTTCATGTCTGCTCAAATCCAGTCTTGTCCTCACTGTGTGTCCCAGAGGCCACAACTCTTCTGTGCTGTTGGATGTCACATGGATTTTCACATTCCTTCTGTTTGGAAGTGCCCCTTAAAGCATGTCAGGTGCATTAGTACAGAGCCACTCCTTCACCTCTGAGGTGTGATTTCTTTTTGTAACTCCTTTTAGGTAAAGAACGTTCTGCCTTGGCAAAGGTCTCTTTGGACAGAAATTGCAGTGTTAAGGGTGGTAAAGGTCTGGTTAAAAGTCACAATTCTGGCAGGAGCTGCCCTGGCAAGAGTAAAATGTGTAGTTTCTATTACATGCAGTTACATAAGAATGCATGTCCATAAAGATCATGGTCCAGTGTAGCAATTCAGCCCCTCTGTCCAATATCCATGTATCAGGGATCTGAAGCATCTTGTTTGGGAATCTCAAAAGCAGTTGAGTGCTCTGGATAATGCTGGTAGTTTGCCTAAATCCCACGCTGATGAGAAGCTAGGATTAAAAACCCTGTAAATCCAGGATGGTATGAGGTGAAAACCTTTAGGATTGTATCTGGAACAGTAACTATGGGGGTACAACACTGGTGCCGAGTATTTTTCTTGGTCCTCAAGAAGGGATGAGAAATTGCAATCTGAAGTGCTTGATAGTGGGTAAGAACAGTGGCTTGGAGACTGGAACACCTGCTATATGATGGTGGCTGTTAAAGCTTTATAGTTCTTTTATTTATCTATCTTATTTGAGAGCAGCTCTAGGGAAAGCAGCTGGGGAGTCAATTAAGGAAACTTCATGATTATTTGGGAGAAGAGTTTGCTGTTGGGCAGGTTCAGTACAATCATACCAGAAATAGGCCAGTATTCACACTGCCTGTGAACCAGACAGGACAGGAGGAAAAGGTTCTGATTGGATTTTTTGCTAGCTATGATAAAGGAATGAATTTTTACCCCTCATGAAGCCTGCTGGTACAATGCCAGCTGCAACATTTTTGAACAAATTTGAATCTGCAGCAGGAGTCTGTTTTGGATCACTTCTGCATGTCACCAAGTATGCTGTTTTTGGGGGGGTGGTGTGAGCTAAAGGCAGGGCTTTTTTGTGTCAACAAACCATTATTTTTGCCAAGTCTTCTGAGGTCATGTGGGCTGGTCCCAAGAATTGCTCTGATGCTCTATCCTGAGCACAAGATAGATGCAGGGATCACGGAGTGGTTTGGGTTGAAAGGGACCTTAAAGATCATCCAGTTCCAATACCCTGCCTTGGGCAGGGAACCTCCCACTAACCAGGTTGTTCAAAACCCTGTCCAACCTGACCTTGAACACTTCCAGGGCATGGACACACTTCCAGGGATGCTGGAAGCTGTGAGCATGCAGGGCTGACACAGCAAGTCGCCTCCTCTCTGTGACATTCCTGCTCACCAGAGGTTTTTGCCCAATCCTGCCTTGTGTTTAGCAGCTTTGATGTTGAGTGTTAGGAGTCCATATGCATAAACAAAACCATTTACTTAGAGAGGAGGAAAATCGTCTGAGGACAACACAGGTAACTGTTTTCAGTGGGTTGGTGACAGATCCTATGTGAGGTTTCAGCGTGAACATCAATATTATTACACTTCTAAAGGGTCAGAGACTGACATGGCAATTCCTATCCCTGAGGGATATTTTTCCCCAGCCGCTTTCTCAGCACAGGGTAGACCTTGACAGTGATCCTTACCCTGCCTGCTGTCCTGGAAGAAACCCAAAATTTCTTCCAGTGCTTGAACTCATGACAGATCGTGGTGTGTGGGAGTGACATGAGATGTGATATCTGGCAGATGGTTCAGGCCTTTTTGTTCTTTTTTCCTGCAAGTTTTCCTCGCCTTTCCTATTTCATTTCATGTTTCCTTTTCTGCACACAACAGGTCCTGAGCTTCGGTGCTGAGACCATCTGTGTGTCTGTGGATTGCTTTGAAGGGATCCATGAAACTTGCTGGAAGGTCTAAATCCTTCTTTTAGACATTTTTCCAATGTGCCTTGGTTGGAAAACACCCGCAGATCATTAAAAGGGAGTGAATACCACTGCTGCAGAGGGAGACAACACTCCTCTCCCTGGTATTTGAACTATTTCTTTCTAGTGGTTGAACCTGATGTCACTTGATTGTGTTTATTTTCTGAACTTGAACCAAAGCCTGTATCTGTGCCTGGCAAAAAGGGGATGGGTCAAGGAGGGTGTAGTTTTATAGCAGAACTGGAAGCTCTCAAACCATTGCAAGGGATATTTGCAGGCCATGGGAGTTCACCCCACATTACACTAGAATTTTTTGTGGTGGTTATGCAGCTACCCTGCTTCTGTCCTGAGCACTGACAATCCCAGGAGCTTTTAAAAATGCAGGTAGGGAAAAAGTTGAAACAATAACGTGTTTCTTTGCCTCAGCATTTTAAACCAAAACATAAGCTTCCTACTCCCATTGCTGGGATTTCACCAGACCCCCTTGAGGAACACACTGTTAAACAGTGTGACCTTTTATCTGTCATAACAGGAAGGAATTCTAACCAAATACAGCCCAGTAGTAATGCTTAAGAACATTCTTTATATTTTTAACAAAACTTTGAAAGCCAGTTTATTGTATAAACAAAAAAAATCTGTAAACAAAAATGTTCCTTTCTTGGAAAAAAAAAAACCAATACAATGTAGTTTCTTTATCTTCAGGCTAATAAAAACTTGCTGCCAATTTCAGTACACTCCAAAATCTGCTTCAGCTTTCTTTGCTGAACTGTTTTGTATGAAGTGCTTTGATCTGAGAAGGAAAAGCCCTACAGTCTGAAGTCTTGCTGGTTGTCCCTGCTGCCATCTGTCCTGGAGATGTGGCATGAATGAGAGCAGAATGACCTGGAGTGTGGTGGTTCACAAATGGGGAAAAAACAGGCTGTCAATAGTTGTAGATGCAGAGGCTGGAAAGAAAAAGGACTGGAGGACTGAATGTTGTTTCCCAACGTATTTGCACAGGTTATCATCCACTTCTGAATACCAGGGTTCTGGAAAGTCCTTCAAGGACTTGAAGTAAAGTCTCTTCCAGTCTTGAAGTGGTCATTGCTTGATAACCCACATCAGCACTTTTTTTACGCAGTCACCTGCACATCTCCCTCCCTCAGGCAGGTTAAGGTCAGAGCAGGGATTGTGTGGAAAGAAATCCTGTGACTAGCATGCTATGAGGAGAGGCTGAGGGAGCTGGGGTTGTTTAGTCTGGAGAAGAGAAGGCTTAGAGGCGACCTCATCACTCTCTTCAACTACCTGAAGGGAGGTTATAGCCAGGTGGGGGTTGGTCTCTTCTCCCAGGCAACCAACAATAGTACAAGGGGACATGGGCTCAAGCTCTGCCAGGGGAGGTTTAGGTTAGATGTTAGGAAGAAATTCTTTACAGAGAGGGTTATCAGGCGTTGGAACGGCCTACCCAGACAGGTGGTGGATTCACCATCCCTGGAGGTTTTTAAAAAGAGATTGGACGTGGCCCTTAGTGCCATGATATAGTAATTGGAGTTGGATCAGGGGTTGGACTTGATGATCTTGGAGGTCTTTTCCAACCCAATCTATTCTATGATTCTATGATTCTATGACTCTGGAAGTCAAAGGAACTGCCAGGGGCAGCAAGGAGATGAACTGTCCCTGCAGGTAGGGACCAAGTGCAAGTCCCATGTAGTGCACGACATTTGGCAAGCCTGTGATACCAGGCCAGCATGTCCCACGGGGATGAGCAGCTAAAATCCATCAGAGCTCATCTCCAGATTGAGCTACCCTGGCTGTGAGTGCCTCGGAGGCTGGACCACAGCTGTGAGTAACCATGAACACGGATGAAGAACGTGTTGTGTGACCTGATGCTTTGTGTTTGAGACAGCTCACAGCATCAGCAATGTAATTCTTTTAATACTGTATTTTTTTCCCCTTTACCATTAGTAGAGATAATTTGCATAGGCATGAGGTGGATGTTCTGATGTGCACAACCTGAACATCCAGGAGTGGCTGCCCCTCGTTTCCTAATCAGTACAGCCTTGAGTTTCAACAGCTTTTGGTAAGTTTGGTGAGTCAGTGCCCATTGGATATGGGAGTTAGGTACAGTTGTTTGATTCATCTCTTAATTTGAACAGCACATTACAGCTAATATTATTAGCTCCAGAGAATCAGCAGCAAGCAAATACAGGTAGAAGCAAATAGGACATGAACACAGCCATGGAGCCCCCCCTGCTTCTCTAAACAGCAAGACTCAAGCTCTCAATGGAAAAGGTCTGTACACTTGCTCACCTGTCTCAGATCTATCACATTTACACCTTCAAGCAACATACAGTACTTCTGCATGTTGCCCATAGGGATAATAAAAATTTAATAGTCCTATCTGGAATGGAAATTTTGATTTTTGGACTGTTAGACCTAATCATATATATTTATATAAATATAAAAGTATATATGTAAGAAACCCCACACCAAACAGAAAAAACCCAACCGTTCGTAGGACACCCAAACTGCTTCCTAACACAAAATAAGGAGATCCTTGCCCTATGTTGTATCTTGCTGTCATCCTTTGGCATAAACTTCACTTATTCATGGGAAGAGAACAATACTGCACTTGACCCTCACCTCTCTTAACCTCTGTGGGAGAAGGGGACAACCTAAATCCTGCACAGGGGCCAGGGAGCAGAACATGCTTTGTGTTAAAGAGAGTACAGTGTATACAAGTAGCTGTTGCTGTTAATCCTCTCTGAAGTGGCTGCTGGAGGAAGGCAGTTATGAAACACAATATCCAGTGTGAAAACACAATTAAAGCGTCCATTTTGGCATCCCATCTGTGCAGGTTTTCAGGCGTGGAGCTTGATTCACTGCCTTTACAGCTGTGCTGCCTCCCACCAGGGCTTTGTGCTTTTAAATAAGAACTCTGTTACTGTGTTTTCTCATCAGCATGTTGTCAAGATGGCAGCATCCCATGTAAATTCTAGTTAGTTTTCTTCAGTGCTGGCTGTCTTGGATTTCTCCATTGGCTTTTCCCCTTTATAGCTGCAGTATTTCATTGCTCTCTAATATTTCAAAGCTCAAGAAAGGCAGGGTGTGACACACCAGTTATATTAAAGTAACGTTACTGTGATGGTTTTTTCCCTATTTCCTCATCTATGGAAGGATTCATGTTATTATCTATGCACATTTTGGTTTACCTAAAGCAATAACTCATCATCTCATCTAAGGCAAACAGTATTCAGCAAATAAACCAGCCACTAGAAAGTGAAAACTTCATCTTCAAGGAAATAATGATTGTATTAATTAGTCACTGTCTTTAAGATTTGCATGTTCTGCTTTCCTGGAATACTTTGCCAAGAAATTCTTCTTTGTAAACGAGGCAGAACTGTTTTTTGTCAGGCAACTTCTAGGAAGAACAGTACTAATCAACCAGTACTACTCAGTTTTCCTGAAATCTCTTGAGTCTTTTTAGAGAGGAAAGCAGTTCCTATCTGCTTGTTTTCATGCAGAGACAAAGGGACTTTGGTCATTATGTCATAAGATTGAATTTTAAGCCTTTTCCCTCCCTTGCCACTGCCTTTATTAAAAACAAAAGAAAAATCTCTCCAAAAGCCAAAAGCAACCAAACAAAACCCCCACGGCCAACTTAGAACAAAAAACCCCAGTGATCCTCTGCTCAGCATAAAGCCATCTATGTAAGATTTCAAATTTTTTGTCAGAAGTAGTCATATCAGGTTCTGTCCTTTCTTTATTCTCCATGGTGCAGCCAGGAGGAAATTTCAGCCACTCTTTGTTTTGATTTGGTTTTGTAACCCAAAACAGGCATAATCTACACAAAAAAAAAAAAAAAAAAAAAAAAAAAAAAGAAAATCCTTTTGTTTCACCTTGGCAGCTTTAGAGTCCCCTGAACAGTCACAGCACTCAGGTGGTCAGGTGTAGCAGCTCCATTTGGATGTGTCAGGCACCAGCATGAAAAAGCTGCTGCTGCATTTTCATTTACTCTAAAAAAGCAGTGGGTATTGTTAGGAAGACACTGGAAATGGGTTGAATAAATCAAAAAGCAAGAGTTTTTTTTCACTCTATCTGCTTTTGTTTATGCTCACTGGGAAACCCAGCAGCCTTATCTAGACAGCAAAGGGGAAGTCCATGTATGAATCAACAACAGCTGTAGTTCTTAGGAAGTTCCCAGTTCAATTCTTGCCCTTTGGCCTCACGTGGGGCTTTGCTGGCACCACGTAGGCAATGCTCTGTCCCGCTCCTTGCCTGCCTGGTGCCACCCTGCCCTGGCACCCGGCTCTCCCTACAGAGGTGGCAAGGTTTGGGGGTGCAGTCTGTGTCTGGGCCTCTTGCTGCATCCCTTTCTGGGAAGACCTGGCACAGGGAGAGCTGCTCTCCTCACCTGCCGGGTGTGGGAGGGAGGCTCGTGTGCCTGCTGAGGGATGCAGGGCTGATCCATCAGGTGTGTGAGCCATCACAGCCATTTCCAGCCCTCCCTCTGGACTGATGTGTCTTCTCTGCCTGATTCCCCTCAGTGCATGTCACTCATGCTTTGTCACAGTGCCTAGTGCTCCTGCTGTGGTCTGGCTTCTGACACCTCGTGTCACTGTGCTGACAGAAGTGACAAGTGTCAGGCTCTCTCTGCACATGTCACTGGCATAACTGCACCCAACCTTCAGCAACAAGAACCAGAGAAGTCACTCTCCTGTTAGAGCTCTCTGGGAGGTGCAGTTGCCTCCCCAGTTCCCACACTCATCCTTCATCTCTTTGTGAGAGATGCCACCTCTTCCTCTCACAGGCATAGCCAGGCCCTGTATGCAGGGTTAGATATTTGGAAGAAATTCTTTACTGTGGGGGTGGTGAGGCACAGGAGCAGATTACCCAGAGAAGCTGTGGATACCCCATCCCTGGAAGTGCTCAAGGCCAGGATGGGAGGGGCTCTGAGCAATCTCATCTAGTGGAAGGTGTCCCTTCCCATGGCAGAAGGGTTGGAATGACATGATCTTTAAGGTCCCTTCCAACCCAAACCATTCTATGATCTTGGCTCTTTTCGTAATTCTCATCAAGAACCCAGCTCATCTTACTGGCCTGAAGACAATTAACATGTGCAAAGCCTATTTCTATAGCCTAGTCAAAACCAGCATGTTTTTCAACAAAATAACCCATTTTTTTACATACAAATTATGTCAAAGTTGTAACAGACAAAAAAAACATTGGGGAATTTCACTCCGTGGTAAGCAGTGAGTAGCATTGCAAGTGTGGCTGACACTTTATTCCTGAGAGTGGAGAAGTTAGGGATGAGAAGGTATTTCACCACTCGGACATTCAGTCCTTGCTGCCTCCCTGGGGAATGTGGTGGCAGTGAGAGGGTTGCCCACCCACTGCCCTTGCTGATCAGCTTCCCTGTGAAACAGCAGGTCTGTGGGAGTGAGCCTGGCAGGGCCAAACACACAGAGCCAAGCTGACAGGCTGGGGGAGCTGGCTGTGCCTGGCCACCATGAGGGCACAGACAGAAGGAGGTGTGGCTGTCTCCAGCTCACTTTTGCCATATTTTTACAAGACTTTTTACAAGGGCACATAGTGATAGGACAAGGGGTAGTGGGTTTGAAGTGAAAGAGGGTAGGGTTGGATTAGGTATTAGGAAGGAATTCTTCCCTGTGAGGGTGGTGAGGCACTGGCACAAGTCGCTCAGAGAAGCTGTGGCTGCCCCATCCCTGGAAGTGTTCAAGGCCAGG